GTTGGGGACAGGGACACAGATTTATTCTGACTGGAACATGGTGATGATGAGTTCCCTAGTCTGATGGCTGGGAACAAAAGACTCATTCTTTAGTTCCCAGAATGAGGATTAACAGGGAAGCAGCCTTGCCTGGCATTGTCCTGCAGCATCAGATAATTGTGAGCAAGGCTCTTCATGGAACAGATTTCACCAGATTTCACTGTGGAGATACATTTTTTTTTTAGTGGTACGTGAAATATCTACCATTTACCTGTAGTTTTAAAAGTGGCCTTTTAAGAATGAATGGCTCAAAACCTGAACATGACCCTGTTGTTACCTTACTGATCAACCACCAGTGAGCTCTCCCATGTCACAGCATATCTATAGAGATCATCAATGCGTTGTTCTTATTATTTCTCACTTTTACCTTGTAGATTACAACTTTCCAGATGTAGGAATCTATCAAAATGGCCTCATAAGTCCATTCATTCACAGGGATACTTCCTAGTTGGATAGCATTGTTGTACAACAGGATGCTATGGATATGGATATTTTGGAACGAAAATTGCAAGTCAAATGGAAAATTATATAAGAACATAAAAGTATTACATTAGGAATTATATTAGCATTTGTTAACCCTAGTGCCCCAAATCAAAACCACTTTTTCTCCCCTTATCCTCCTTGGGGATTATTGAATAGATCAGCAAATATATTGGTCTTTAAAAAAATTGGATGTAACGTATGCGGTATTTTCTACTTAGATTAGATTTTCATGGGCAACAGAAGAAGCAAGTGAACCTTTTATTGATTGTCAGTTGGTGCCATTTCTATTGATCAAATTTAAATATAGGTCTCAGCAGCTGATGGGTTCAATTCGGACAAAACACGTGTTGACTCTCCGGGTTGTTTGCTCCCTGTAGATGCCAACTGTGGTGTAGAAGGGGCTGCGCATTGGTCTCCTTTGTCTCCGGAAGGATTGATTGACTGATGTTGTGTCTGCTTGCTCACAGCGTCTTTCTTGCTTAACTTTAAAAATTGTGACATAGTATCACATGCTCCGTGTATACATCATTTCTGGGGAAGAAACTTGTTTAGCCAATATGTCGGCTCAGTCTGTGAAACCCTCTCTGTAGCTTTCATTCAGCCTTTAGCATGCTCCGTTAGGTCACATCGTCCGTCCGTTTCATCCCACGGCACCGGTCCCCAGCAGCAGAATTTTGCATTTGGTCCTCTTAGGTTTAAAAGGAATCAAATACCTGACGAGATCTGTCTCTGATACATATTTGAGAACCACCCCTATGCCACACACACACACACACACACACACACACACACACACACACACACACCACCCTTTCTGGGCATAGGACAAATGCTACTAATGGGTACCTTTCGTTTTTAGAATACGGACAGCAGTACTCTGTGCAGCAAAAGACCTGAGCGATTAATGCTACCCTCATGCCTCTTTTGAGTAGTTTTAGCCATGGGGCTTGGCACTGCCACCATTGTCTCTGTGCCAAAAACTATCCGCAGCGGCTGTTGCATTTTAGTACTGGAGGGTTGTCTCAAAAATTCCGCAGTGAGCACGCCGCTTGTTCATCACTGCTCTCCCTTTTAAATATAGAGGGGGAAAAATGGAATCTGGGGCTCTGAGAGCTGGGCTGTGGCGGTGGGCACGGCGGTGGGTGGGTGGTGGAGAATGGAGGAAGGAGGAGAGAGCTGTCTGCGCCAGTCAGTGGGTCTCAGGGACAGAAACCCATGCCCGACATCGAGGAAGCACAGATATGGGGGAGCTTTTGTGTGCCGGAGCACAGAGAGTTACTTAAGAATCATCCTCAAACGTATTATCAGCACTCCTGAACATTTTTTTTTATTTCCCCGAAACAAATGCTCCAGTGAATTTTTTTTTAGCAGAAAATCAACATCAAGACCATAGCTCATTTTTGGTGGACAGTTTACACAAAGGATATGTTTATTTGCCTAGAAACTGGGGTGTCCCTGTAAAATGGCTGCCTGCTGTCATTAGGAAACGATAGGAATAGATAGGATACGTCGGAGAGAGCGCTTGGGTTTTATTCTCAGTCCTGATTATTTTGCTCCCAAATGGGGGTCTGGGCTCTGAGGGCAGATTTATGGTTGAATTTGGGAACAAAAAGATGTAATAAAGTTAAAGGCTTACACTATCAGAATGAAATGTGTTCGCTCATGATCTCTGGAGCGATCTATTTGATGGTAAAAGTGGATGCTACAGATGAAATCTTTACAAGGAGCATAATCCTAAAAAAAAAAAAAAAAAAAAAAAAAGAAAGAAAAGAAAGAAAGAAAGAAAGAAAGGGAGAAAAAGCAATGCACCCCCCAGCCTCCTGCTGGCTGCACTGCCTCTTTGGTACCTCGCAGACTTCGACAGAGTCCTGGACTGGTGCCCATTGATGTCATGGAAACACTCAAATTACTGAGAATGATTCATGTCTATGCTGGTCTCTTATCCTCCCCCACACAAACACGAGTAGATTTTTAACCCTGACAACTTGTAATTTGCAGTGGGTTTATTTTTGTATCTGGATAAATATTTTTTAACAAGCAAAATTAAGATTAAGCGGTCTGTATCTGATATGATAGTAAAGAGTGCTGGGCCTTGTAGCCGGGAGTACTTTGGGGACTCGGTGCAGCGTGAATCCATATTCTTCTCATCTCTCCCTCCTCCTTCTCTCCCTTCCTGCCCCCTTGCTTTTCCATCCCACTCTCTCTCTATTTCTCTTCTCTTCTCTCCTCTCCCATTTATTCTCATTTCCCTTTTCTCCTTCCCTCTCTCCCTCATCTGTACTATTTACACTGACCTTCTAGCTTCAAAATAATGGAAGAGATATAGCTCTAACTTGTATATACATACATGAATTGAGGCAAACCCGGTGAGAAAATTAATCTCTGAGGTCTGTGTGCTGGACTCAAGTAGGGAAAGAATGCCAGGTGGTGAAATTCTATAGAGGATAAATTCAGTAATTCCTTCTAGAGAGAAAAAATAGGTAGTCTTTCTTACTTTAAATTGTATTTTACCCTTCGGTTTTTTGAAATTAGCAAAGCAGGTTACTAGATGTTCCATTTCCTAGGAAGTCAGAGCAAATTTTACCTCATCTATTCCTTTATCTGTCATCTGTCTTTCTGTCTGCCTGCTTGTCTGCCTGCTTGCCTACATCTCTACCTGCCTTTCTAGTTGTTAAACAAGTGAGTATTGTGTCAAAGTGAATTATGGTGTGGTTGTATGGACGCTTTTAAAGTGCAAGAGCTTAAGGAAGGACACGTGCCATTCGATAGCTTATAAAGGTCGAGTCTTTTTCTCTTAGCAATATTGGTAGAGAAGCTAAGGGGCATCTCTAGGTTATATTTGACTTACACAGAAGAGTAGATATGTATGCATGGGCATTTGCACTGCTGCACAGGTAAATGAGGTTTTTTTTTCCTTCAGTGAAAATCCTCATATAATTAAAGTTATTTTCTTAGATGTCCCAAGAGTTATAGTGTGTCTGTGAGATGATATCCTGTTCCATAGGAATTGAAACTGATATAGACATTGATTTCCTACTTTGCACTAAACAATATACAGAAATGGGTGGGGGAATGTTTTCCCAAGTTTGAAATTCTTTGGAATCAGTAGAAAAGTTAATGCTGGGGGAGAGAGGGTTAATTTTAAGACTCAGGTTTGGCTTTCTTTGAAAAGTCATCTTCAATTATATATATATATATATATATATATATATATATATATATATATATATATATATGGTGCACTACTTTTGGTCAGATATAAGATTTATTAAAGGCACCTTCTTTGTGTAATATCACAAAGGAATGCACTACTAGCACTGTCACCAAACTAAAACATAAAAAATGACCACTGTTCCTTTGCCATACCTTGGCTTGAGGGGAAATTGAGGTGGATACCATTCAGTCCCTAAAAAATACTAGTTTCCAATTTTCTCATCAAAAGAAAGAATAGTATAATCCTAGGAATTAAGTATAGTGTTCCTTAAAATTCTGTTCTCCATAAAAGAAGTATCCTTCAGTCTCAGGCATTTGCATTCTGGGTACTTGGCTGTCCCTAGATCTTTTTAATGTGTGGTCTGGGTCCATTTTCTGTGATAACTCTTCATGTCACTCACTAAACTCTACTGCTTAGACCTCTTGTAATGTGGTTTCATTGTCTTTCTTGCTGATCATTAAGGCTAGCCATACTTGAAAAAGAAACAAATGAGCAGCCTTGATTACATCCTTAGCTGTGGCCAAACAGCTTCTGAGGCTGCATACGTCTCTGGATATAGAAGCAAGGTTGTTAGAATTGGAACAAGATATTCACATGCCATTATCCATGTCCTGCCGAGTCTACTGGTAGAATCTGAACTTGGGATCAGAGTCGGCAATTTTTCAAAGCCCTCTTTTCCAAATGTAAATTCCATCATCATTTTGGTCACGATGGAATTTACTCCTGGGAAAGGGAGTTAAAAAAAAGAGAGAGTGTGTGTCTCAGAATTTTGAGTAGTTTCTTTTGCTGTACTCACCATCTGGAAAGCCTTGATTGATTAGCTTTGGCCTCACCATTAAGTGTCAATATAATCAATGGGAATTCCTAGACTAGGGTGATTACATAGATAATTTGCCTGCTGTGTAAATAAAAATGAAATTGTTTAAATTTTGTGAGAGAGAAAGCAAGTGAAAATAAGAAATGACAATTTGTTTGTTAGAGAAAGTGGAGGCCCTTGGAATGACAGTTTTTGGGAGTGTGGAGCTGTTTGGCTAAGAATAGGAATGAAGGATATTTTTTCCCAGTTTATCATAGCCTGAGTGAGGAAGTGTTATTCCCTCTCTTGCTTGCATACTAGTACATTGCCAGTAGTGCCTACTTTACGTATGTAAACATCGGAAGAGAAGTAGATGTCTATTACCTGGAAGCTTTTTTTTTTTTTTTTTTCTCTCAAGGAAAAAAAACCATTTACACTTTTTGTTTGTTTGTTTGTTTCTCTTGGCAGGTAAAACAGAAAGGGGCTCATATTCATCTTATGGGAGAGAATCAAACTTACAGGGTTGCCACCAGGTAAGTGAGGATCTTGCAAGGGGAAGGGTTGGGAGAATTAGCCTGGTGCTTCGGTTTATTTTACAAATGAGATGATGCATTTTGGACTGTGACACCAAGATGCACCGAGAGCCTGCCGATGCCTCTTTTCGTTTAAAAAGTGATGGAATAGCACAGAGCGTGGAGGTCACAGGCACCTTCGTCGTTAGCTCTCTGGCATATCAGGACCACATCCACTGGCTTGCTTTTACTTTTTAATCCATCAACCGGTGTTTGCAAACCAGCGATGTCGGTGAAAGTGTTCCATCCAAAGAGTTTATTTGCAGTTGAGAACTGAAGAATTTCTTCCACTAGAAATGCTTCGTGCAGCCATGTGTCAAACCCTGGGTTTGGTGGCTACTGCCCTAAATTATAGTTTTCATAGGGGCTGTATGATGTTGTGTGAAAACAGGGCTGTATTGAGGGATAAAAATGTCTGTGAAAATATGATTTGTTGTCCCTTTTTGTTTCTGAATTGTTTTTGGCTGGAAGTCAAGGCCAGCAGGCTAACAGCAAAGCCGTCTCAAGGGAAGCACGCGTGAGCTAGAAAAATAAGAGTACTTTAATTAAATAATAAAATGCCAGTGTAATACAAAAGTATAGCATGTGTGTGTTTGTCTCTGTGCACCCTGCATTTGCATACCTTTAACTCTCGAGAGAAAGCCCCGTTCTAAAAATACTATCAGTAGCCAAAAGTGTAAGCTTTGTTTTAAGACAATTGAGATTTTATAGAGGCTTTCTTTTTAATTTCAGTATCAGTATTAATCATATGTTTAAACCCCCCCCCCTTTTTTTAAAAATTAAGATGTAGCGTTTCTTTTTACATTGGCTTCTTTGGGGGGAAAAAAACAAACTCTTGATGAAATTTAACAATCCTCTTTAATATTCAAAGCTTTCTACTGTTTTATTATTCACCCAAACAGAACGTATGTTCTTTTTGTGCTGGAAAGGGAGTGCTTGTTCTCTTGAACTCTCTCCCCCTCCCATTTCCTTTAATGAAATGGGGAGGGGGGGAAAATTAATTTAAAAATTTTTTAAAACAACTGTGTAATATGTCCTGAAAATGTAAGCAAACAGTTTTCGTAATGAAATAGAGCCCCTGAAGGAGGTTTGCTTTTCAGATCAGTGTTACACATCACTAAAGGTGGGATTCGGGCGGCGTGGTTTCTCCTGGATGCATTTGCATTTTTAAAGTTTGCTGCTTTGGCCCAGCCACCAAATGCAGTCAGATTCAGCATCTGAAAGACTGGTGGGAGGAGGTGAATGGTGCCTGGTTAGGGAGCTCCCTCCGCTGCGAGGCTTCATAGGACAGTCCCCGGGAGTTTGTTTGGAAAGAATTCTGCAGGAAAGAAATTTACAGTCCTTCCAACGCAGCAACGGAAACATCTTTGGAATGTGAGTGCAAATGTTCGGGGTAGATAGCCAGGCGACAAGCCTCTCTCCATGCCGAGTCTCTGGTGTAAAGCTCTCAATTCCTGCCGAAGAGCCTGTTCCTGTGTATCTGTTTTCCGAGGGGTCAAGGCAGAGGTCGTCGGAGTTTTGGGGAGAAGAAAGTTGACAACATCCTTCCTTTTTGCAGATGGTCATGGCAGAGGTCTCTGTTTTTGCCGGGCCTCTCTTTCTGGTCAATGAGAGACTAGGCTTCCTCGCCCCTGTATCCTTTCTTACTAATAGGAATTGGCGTGATTCCTCACAGACACAAAGATTTCCTCTGCTGAGTAAGCGTGAGGCCCCTTAACTTGTGAAAGCATCATCCAGACCGCGCGAGTCGTCTGTGTATGTGCAGGGACACAGACCCTCCCTGAGTGTGTGGGAAATACTTCCCTCGGGTGAGCCTGGCGTGAATTTTCTTGGCAGACGCAAGGTGAGAAGTGGGAAGGGGCAGAGGGTGGAGTGCAGAGGTGGATGGACTGGCATGTGATGGCTGAATTTCTGGGCCATGGGAGGCTCCTTTTTGAGACATTTCGTGTCCAGGGAAACTCTGTTGTGTACAAGAGGGTGCTTTTTTCTTAACAAGTCTTCATCACTGTGGAGGGTAGATGTGGAGGGTAGATGCTTTCTTTCTTATTTCTGCTTCATGGCTGTGAGTCTTGTAGGAACTGACTATCTGTTTGCTTAGCCTGGTCTCAGCAGTATTCATAAACAGTGTGATCACTTTTTGGAAATTCCCTGATTGAGGAAATAGGGGCCGGAGGTGCAAAGGGCACATATTATGAATTCCTGCTCTCGGTGAAATTTGAGAATAGGGCAGACCCTCGTGGGTCTCCCAGTGAATGAGTCTCTCTCTCTCTGGTGCCGAATTGTTCTTTGAGTCCCTGTCTGCCACCCCAGCTCTACAGACCAGAAAGAAAGGCAGCTTCTCTGTGTCCTGGGCTTCAGGTCTCAATAGCGGATCACAGCTGAAATGACTCCCCACGGTGTGGCCAGGTGAGCGCCGCGCGTGGACGGGGAGCTTTTGTTTTCTCCCGCCTGCTCCCCTCCAGAGACACAGGACGCAAACCCTTTAGATGCTATGCCCTTAAGGAGCGCTGAAAGCGGCTTTATTGTATTATCACAATATCCCGTGCACGTGTAGGGCGAGCCCCGTTACATGTGAACTTGCTTATTCCAGTCCCAGAGGCCTTTTGTTTGGTGTAGAGAAATGCTGGCGGTGAGCAACAGGTAGCAAAATGCTGTCCTGGAGAAATGGCTATTGATTCCGAAATGCATCAGGTTAACGCTTGTGCCTGTGAGTGTCCATTATGTTCCTCTGGAGGAGTGAACACTAACAGTGACAGACATGTGGCTTTCAAAAAAAAAAAAAAAAAAAGTGGGTATCTTAGCCGAAAAACAAAACCGGCAGGTTTTTATTTTTTTTTATTATCAATTAAGTTGTTTTCATTAAAACTAGTAATGAGATGTTGCAAATTCATTAATGCATCCTTACATAAAATTATCAAACAACAGCCTGTGACTTTCCAGACTTGAAATTGTATAGAAAAATTCCAATAGTCAAAACAGAAGCGGCTAAAAGGACTTTTTTTTTTAATTTTTTTTTTTTAAGTCCTCACTAAATATGGCAAAACTAATTTAAATCAAATTGGGGTACGGAAATCACACCCAGGCTTAAAATGTTCTTGCCAAATTACAACCTCATACTACTTTTACTGGCAGAGAAAATAAAATTTATAATGGAAAGTCTGACAGAAATGAAAATGAGTGGAAATAAAAGTTTTTCTCAAGATAGTCCAACTTTCAAATGATAAATAGCCAATAGTGATGAATGGGCATCACTTCAGAGGAGAAAAGAGAAAAGAGATCCTTTGCTTTTGGCCTTTTTTTTTTTTTTTTTTTTTTTTTTTTCCCCCTGCTTTGAATAGGATGTTTGGTGATGACAAACTTTTTTTTTTTTTTTTAATCTCGCTGAGATCTCTGTGAATGAGGTATGATGATGTCAACACAAATGATTGTTATTAAGGTAGAAGTTTTCCCCTTAAATGGACATCCAGCATTGATTATCAGGACTTGTTTGTCTTCTCTTTCTGGGATATGGCCAAGTCTAAAGCAATGGTTTCATTATTAGTATCTCCTGAATACTAAGGGGAGGGTGTGTGTGTGTTTGTGAGAGAGAGAGTTGGGGGCGGAGGGGGGGGGCGAGGGGGGGGGAGAGAGAGAGAGAGAGAGAGAGAGAGAGAGAGAGAGAGAGCGCGAGCGCGCGTGAGTGCGCGCACATGAGCAGGAGCTGGGCCCTATCTGAGACTAATTAAGTTAGAGTCTTATTAGCTGGACATTTGCTTTTCTTATCTCTCAGGTGATTCCAATGTGCAGCTGGGTCAGGTGACTTTCTAGAATGTTCTATAGGAATAGGCTCTATTTTAAAGATTTGTGTCCAAAATCTGGAATTGCCACTGACCTGGAAAAAGCTTTTTGATTTCTTGCCTTAATTTGATTATTTAAGACATGTAAATACATTGCATATGTACTTCATTTAACAGGCAGTGAAAATTACTGCTATGTTGAAAATCAGTAGATGCCTTGAAATCTTTATACAGAATTCCACAGCTGAACTTCCCGGTCCGCATCTTGTTTTCTCTGGGGAAGCCAAGGCTCTACTCTCCTCCACATCCTTTATCTTTTTTCAAATAATCAAATAGGACTGTGCTGATAAAGTCATTGATGTGTACATCTGAAAATTGACATGGTTTAAGAATTCGGCCTAATCTCGAATACCTTTGTTAGAGTTCAATAACCGAAGCTTTACAAGAAAGGGGTCTTCTCTATATTTCATTTCACTTCCTCATAAATCTAGTAATTTTTAATGATTGAACTTAAATGTGGAGTTGGTTCTGAAACAAACTACATCTTTAGGGATGAATTTTTTCTTTCAATTATTTTTTTTATCTGGAAGGAGTTACAAATTACTTAATTCTAACACTTTTTGGCCCCTTTAAATTTTTTTTTTTCTTATTTAAAGTCAAAATGGAAAGGATATAAGCAAGAAGGCATAGAATAGAACCCCCTGTCTCTTTTTATGAAAATGGCTGTTTAGGCCTTGTGTGCACAGAAACACGTTTGGTTTCTAATCTGACATCAGGCTCAAATGTTAGTTCCTGGCGGGCAGCAACCCTGTCCAGTCCTTGCGTTCTTCCTGGGACCTGTTCCCCCGGAGCTGCCTTATGCGCTGTCTGTGCACTGCTTAGCGCTCTGCTTCATTGCATAGCGCTTTTCCAGCTTGGCATTATTTATGTTTGTTGAATTCTGGGTTCCACCTGAATTCTGGGAGCTCCCAGAAACAGGGGCCATGTCAGTTTTCTCATGAATTGTGTGGACTCGGGTTTATTTCCCCATCATTACTCTTAGGCGTCATTTCGATAGTAGAGTCTGAATAGCAATGCATAAGCACCACATTGTAAGCATCATTTTCATGCTTATGGGAACCAGAAAATCACACTTTTCATAAGAAAGTTCTTTGGAAGCCCTTCCTTGTAACTTCTATGGAAATG